TTCATCGTATTTTCTGTCTTTTTTAGTGCCTTTTTTTGCTTTTTTTGCACTACCTAGTGCCTTTTCCTGCCTTTTTCGCTATTTTGTTTTGCCCTTTTTTTGCCTTTTTTGCAATACCTAGTGCCTTTTCCTGCCTTTTTCGCTATTTTGTTTTGCCTTTTCCAGCCTATTTCATTATTTTATTTTGCCTTTTTTATAGGTCCTAAAAATCCGATCCCTGCTTATAACTGTATGAGTTTATCTCACTAAGTGTAACTGAGTATACTATCAAAGATTTTGTCTTACTTTGCAACGCTAGTTTTCAGAAAAGTGAAAAAAACAATATTTAATACGTGCGCCGGGTATTTAGTATTCGGCTTCACCCGAACTTAGACTTTTTTACTTGTTTAATCTTAAAAAAAAAAATTGTAAATGCTATACATAATCACTTTTTTAAAGGTAGAAAAGGCAAAAAAATGCAAATATCTTAAAAAAGGCAAAAAAAGGGAAATATCTTAAAAAAGGCAAAAAAGGCAACATCAAATGTGTATATATGGAATCAAGGAAAGCTAAATCGTGGACATTCTTAATCGAATATACTCTATCTCTTCAGCAGAAAAAAAGGCAATTTCCATAAAATCCGTTGCCTGCTTATGACTCTTCACTCATCTGAAAAAGATCAAACATGTGCCTAAATCTCCGCCTTTCAACTTCCGCATCAGCAATCTGGGACTCGTTCTGCTCTTCAAGCAATAACGCCGCGGCTATGGATTTCATTCTTATAATTATGTATCCACTTAAATTTTATTTTTAAATTACCGTGATGCTGGGTATATTTAGTTATTTTAAAATATTTACAAACTTTAACTTCATATGCTGCTATAGTTTGGTGGCAAATATTTCTTTGTTTTGTTTCGATTTCACACATTCCTAGGCAAACAGCTGATTTCGAAAGATGTTTTCTCTCTTCCTCTTCTTCTTTCGTTTCGATCGTACCGCAGAATACCTAAGTACGATTCCAGCGGAGCGGAATGCGGGAACGTAATCGAAATGCAGAATAGGGCTGAATAAGATCAACGGGAATAAGGTCAGTTGACTTTATTTCCCATCCTGGTGCGAAATAAAGTCAATTGACATTATTACCTTTTCAAAAGCGAAATAAGGTCCATTGGCATTATTGCTCTTTCAAGCATTAAATTTACTTAGCTTCACGGCGGCCCGCGTTGATCTTGTTACCTGTCACCGCTTAATTAACTTATATACATAAAGGCAAAGGTGAAGGTGAATATCGCCGCTTGGCGTGCATTACCGCGTATACCTATACCCAAAATGCCAAAAAAGACTGCAATTGCGCGTATATTTAAACCAGCTTTGTACTGCGGTACTTGATGGCCGCTGTGGTGTAGTGGTAAGCAGTGCGCGCTTCCACTCCGCAGGGCTGGGATCAAGCTATGGGCAAAGCAACATAGCAAAAAAATATAGAAAAAGGGTTTTTTCTTAACAGCGGTCGTCCCTCGGCAGGCAATGGCAAACCTCCGAGTGTTTTTCTGCCATGAAAAACAGCTTCTCATAAAAATACAATCGCCGTTCGGAGTCGGCGTAAAACTGTAGGTAGGTGTGACATCAAGGCGCACGCCACAATTCGGAGGAGAAGCTCAGCCAAACACTAACATATGTGTAAGCGCCAGTCTATTATTATTATTATTGTACTGCGGTTTGTACGACTTTTATCAGTGAATTATTGCTTGTATATTGTGAGTAAAACATAATAATAATAAATTACACTGTTGGAAAATCGTTAAGTTTTGATTTGACATAAAAACGCCGAAATAAGTAAACTTAAGTTTTAGGCGTAGATTACCATATTTCAACACCTATTCCAACTGTATTTCAGAAAAAAACAATTCAAAAAAGCTGAAATTAATTTCAGAAAAGTTCAAATGAGTTTCAAAAAACCTCAAAAGTATTTCAGATATTTCAATTGTTTTTCAGAAAAAGTGAAATGTATGTCAGAAAGTCTCAAATGTATTTCAGAAAATACACGTTTAGGAGCCTATTCCCCCATGTTAAATTCGATGGAAAATATATGGCCAAAAATAAAATAGTCCCTTAAGTGAATATGGCACCTCCTACGATATATGGATGATGAGTAATAGAAAGGCGTTTGCAATATATAGAAGAAATTTTTCGTCATGCAAAGGAATACTGTCGCTTTAGCAGATAGTTCTCGCGCTATATAGGGTGCGTGACATGCCAGTTGGTATGTAATCCCAAGCTCGTCCTTTTCAATAAATTTCGCACCTTTTCAAGTGCTGCTTTGTTCGTCCTTGTAATTTGGTTTCTTATTGGTCAGAAGAGGCTGTACTATTTTGGTCTGCTCTCAGAAATTTGTACGTTTCTACAATGAAAATACATTTAAATTTTTCTGAAATACATTTGGCTATTTCTGAAATACATTTTATGACTTCACATAAAATTACGACTCTGTTTTCAAATGTTAATAAACTAATTTGTCAAAAAATTTTCACTGTGAAAACTTCTTATCACAAAGTTTGGTGGCTGCGAAAAATAAAAATTGGGCGTTTTTCTCAAACCCATCATCTTGTGATAAAGAATATCATTCTCTTAAACTCACAATAATTTACCAAACAACTACTTGCTAGATGTTAATAAAATAGCCTTAAATGAACGCGAATCGCTTAAAATTATATAACAAAACGATAAAGTGAAAAAATTAAATTTTCACTGATAGGCATTGAATTTTTTTATTTTCACTTCACAGTTTCATAGAACTAGAATTGGCCCCAGATCATTTTACGATTTTAAATTTTATGAAAAAAATTCAAATTTTGTCAGGGAAAAATTTAAACAAAAACATTTTTTGTAAAATTTTGGCATTGTAAGCCTATCTAAGCCTATTTATTTATGTATAAATATGAATGGCCAAAGGAAAGGCTTAATGATTTTTTTAGATAAAATATGAGCAGGAAGAATGTTACTCATACGCCATGTACAAGGCCACACTCCTACATGGCGTATGAGTAACATCTTCCAGGCTAAAGTTGGATCTTTTTTTCAACTTGGGAAACTGACCTGTTCTAGAAAAGTGGTATACAGATCCGTAATCTACGACCCAAAATTAAGCTTATGTGTCTCAGCGCATTTTTGTGTCATTTTAGCATTCGTACAGTGAAAAAAGGTGCAACAGTTTTGTTAAAAATTGTTTGTTTCTCCTATAAAATTTGGATGGTATGATATACGGGGTATTGCATTTTGCGTATACGCGATATTGCACGGCAAACGATGATATGCAGATGAAGAAAAGAATAAACATAAATGTAAAATTAAAGATAAATATAAGGGAATATACAAATACCGATAAAAGTAAAGATAAAAGAAAATTAAGGATTAAGATCAATGTAATTGTAACGAAAAGGGTAGAGATAGGGATAAAGATCGAAAAAAGATAGAGATAGAAGCTGATAGATATAATGACGGACAGACTTTTTTTTTGTTAACTACGTTAAGTATGATCAGTGGCGGATCCACGGGGCGATCGAAAAATAATATTTCAGTAATATGGGTTTAGAAAAAGGTACGCACAATAAAGTTAATTTTTTTCTTTCTTTATAAAAACTTGTTGGTAATTTTAAATATATGTCAAGTGCATATGTACAGTCAGTGACAAAAGGAAAATGTACACCTTGTTCTAATATAATATTCACAATTATTTTCATGAACAAATTTTTTTTAAAACATAGCTTTATCTAAATTATTTTTATATGGAAGAAAATGTGCAACACCCTCCAAAAAAAAAAACTCTAAAAAAGCAACGGCAATTTCCAACGACTTGAAACTTGCACTTGGTTTTACTAAAATTAAACGGGCTAGGCATTTATCTATCATGTAAAAGTAATTGTCGAGCATACTTTATATGGAAGAAAATGCACAACACCGTCGGCGAAAAAAATTATTAAAAATCAACGCGATTTCCTAACGTCTTGAACATTGTACTTTTATCTACTAAAATTTAATGGGCTATAAAACTGTGTACTCAAAAAAATTCTAGCACTTCCGAGAAAAAAGTTTGAAATTTGGGTGAAAATTTTTTTCACTCTTTTCGGTCTTTTAAAAAGTTTAAATCTTGGGTTCATATGAGTTTTGTTAGAGAATGAACCATATTTTAATTGAAAGTTCTTAAAAATAAGTAAGAGTGGGAAACAATATGACTTTGAAATGCTATTGTATTGGCCAATACTGTATGTATCAACCCCATTTTTGGGAAGTTAGGTTATATATTAGACTCAACATATTTCCTTATCAAGCTTATTAATTTTATAATGAAATCTCCAAACACGAAATTTTCAAATTAATTCTCTTAAACGTGCGATAGTTTCTTTGTGCAACGCATATACACATGTATGTACAAAACAACATATGTATGTACGTACGTATGTACATACATCTACCTACATACGATACATATTAGAAAGCCATTATTACAGCCTCTCGGTCCAAACTCCTTAGTATAACTAAATAAAAAAACACACACCAGCTACGTCACTTGTTCAGCAATATTTCCCCTTTCCGGATAAAATGGGGTACTCCAGCGCATGTCCAATTGCCCCATGAAGCACACACATACACACACTCAACAGCGCAACAACTGCACAATGAAATTGTTAAAAAAAATTGCATGACCACCCTTAAGTATTTGCCAATAGAGGATGGTGCTTAACATGTTACAACACAATCACACAAGCATACATACATACAACGAAAAATGCGCGCAAAACGATAAACGAAAGCAAATTTGTAGCAACCAATTGTTGCACGCATTATACAGGGTGCCAATGTTTGGCCGCGAGATTAAAACACACTGCCCAATCTTCTATATTTAATTTGAATTCAAACTTTTTTATATTTATTTGATTAAAAAAAATCGCAAAAAATACATAAATTTGAGAATTTAAAACATCTGAGAAACATTCATACATTTTAAAAATTGCAAGTCAGGCCTATTCTGAATGTAACCAAAACGGTTGTTAACAAAAGTTCCCGTTTCAACTTTATTTAAAGGTTATGAAATGCTATGAGTACCATTGAAAACGACAGGAAGAATACATACATATATTTAGCGTCAATTAAATAATACCTCAGAAGTTTAAGCCCTACGGTGCATGGAAATGTAAGCTTAAAAGCATCTACTAATTCTCATTATGCTTTATCTATAGTCTTATATTCCCTGAACAATTTAAAAATTAAGCCTAATATTGTAGATTTGCTGCACCGATATACCAGGTTTGCGTACAGCTACACCTTCACCATGTGGTAAAATTTCCAGCTCTTGTGAAGCACCATCGATAATGAGAGTGGCCGACTTGGGTATGCGTCCCAAACCAGCAATGACAACACGTTCAATCCAAGCGGCTGTCTTGAAATTTGGTTTGCCAATAAAGTTCACATCCAGCACGTTGTTTTCAAACTTCATATTGATGTAATTGTATTCACCCTTTCGATAATTGTATGATTTTTCATCGTCTAAATAAATTGTGCCCTCTGCCTTGCCAGCGCTATTCAGACACACAACCAGAGTATATGGGTCGTTCTTCATGAGCGTCGCAGCCCTGCGGATTCGTTCCTTTTTGGGTACAATTGTACCGCC